AGTGGACCTGCTTTTGGACACGGTTTGAGGTGCGATAGACTCAGGTCGGCTGGGCACCCCTGCATTCTCGCCTTGCGCACCGCTTCGGCTGGATCCGGTTTTCTATGTTCAAGATACCTACAAAAACATATATATATATATAGAAATGCATACGAATCCAAAGAAATGCATACGAATCCAAAGAAATGCATTGAAATGCATAGCAATATAATATATATATATATATTATAGAACATGTGCAAAGTGCCCAGTCTTTTGTCTGGCTCAGAAGGGGCTGTCAGACCTATTGTGTTCTAGGAAAATGAATGAATGGATGGGGCTGCCAACGAGTTCAGACAACAACTTCTCCAAAATGCGAATGTTTGGGGAAAGAGGCCATAAAACATCCTCGCCAGCCCTGAACTCATGTGAATCAAAATGAGACGGTACTGACATGACAGTCTTTGCTAAATCAAGGCAAATATTTCAACTGGATTTTGTATGGCAAGGTTCGATTCCCATAGGGTGCAACATCCACACCAAAAACCCAGAGGATCCCTTCCCTATGACGGTGGCTGAGGTTCCAGCGTGGCATTTTCTTAACCACCACGTCCTGCTCCTGAACACGTTCATCAGGCTCGCGCAACGGACACAAGGGGTTCAACGGACCATCAAATCAACCAGTCGGGATTTCGCCCAACTGGCTCCAAGCATCTCCATCGGACACCTAGCTATATATCTTTTCATATCTTTTCATTCTATGTTACGCATGGCAACCCGTGTCCAGAGACCCTTGCATGTAGCGACGCTGCTATGAAACGTGACGACCCACTTTGCTATTGAATACTACTATGTGATACTTGAAGATAAGGACCTCTTGCAGCTCCTGCATCATTATACAGAAACGAAGAGATGCGTTGCTCAATGAACCCTTCAAGTCCATTGCTCTTCGAAACGAAACCTGCACCAACTTGTGATAGAAAACTGGATTAGGGTGTACAAAGAATATTCAATGTGGAATCACCCTGATTCTCCCCGAAGTGTGAAGGGGAGCAAAAAACGTCTAAAAGCATGAATCCTCACTATATAATCTTGATAAATCCTCTAGATCTCTGCAGTATCACTCCAAGCTAAGAGGTCAGGCCCATGGATGAGCTATCCCAGCCCATCCCCTGTCCATGCCATTGGGCTTCATCCAACGATGCGGGATGACCTTTCCATGGATGGCATTCGCTAGAGTTTTGACCTCGGAGTTTGACTGGAGTTTGGCTCGGCAGGCCATAGTGGGGGCCACAGTCACGACGTGCCACAAATTCTAGAGTGACCAGGGTTCTATAATATATGACCCCTTAAACACACATCAATTGTAAGCCACTGAATCTACAGCATTGGAATCCCAGGAAACTGCTTGTGGTCCCGCTATGCTGACGATGTTATACTATGTCTGCAAAATAGCGGGTATTCCTCAATGACACTGGCAGTGGGGAAATTCCCAACCCAGACGGTGGGTTTTCAGTTTTGTTGTTGCAAGTCTGCAGATTTTTTCCTCTGCGTGTGTGTGTGTGTGTGCGTGTGTGTGACCTCCCCCGCCAAACCGGGCTGCGAACTTTGGTGAAAGAGCCATGTGCTGCCCAACTCGCGAAGTTCGCATAGCCATGAAACCTTGCCGCTGGCGATGTTTTGACTGAAGTGGTTTGAAGCAAGAGACGGGATTTGTGGCATCGCCTGTTGCCTCACAACTGCATCATCTGTATCTGCGAATTTTGATAGCCTGGCCGCCTTCCGCAACTGGTTCAAATGAGGTGTTGCGCTGCTATCCGATCCCCGTGCAACGTATTAATTTGCAGATCCCCAAGAGAATTATGATAGATTCATGATATTTTTTGCGATGGGCGTGGTATTGTCTTGCCATTTATCATCCCAAGGTTCCCAAAAATAAAAGATTTTAACAAAACATAAATTACAATAATATTACAATACTTTAGGCATAGAGACCTCGAAGAAGGCCCTTTTGAAAAGACCCCCAGAGATGAAGAAAGAACAGAAAGAACAGTAGCCTTAGTTTGCAGGGCAAACAAAAGAAACGAAAACGACTGAACACAGGTACATCGCCAGGTGTCCCTCCAAGAGAGACTGAGTTCCATACGCTGACAAGTCAGTATCATGGGGATGAGGTGCCGCCATCAGGGCATCGCAAAACGGGTGTTCACCAAGGTCACCCTGGGGGGCGATCTGCCAATTTGGCGTTCCTCCAAGTGAACTATATAATATAAATGATACAATCTCCACCTGAAGTTGTAATATGTCGCAATTGCCACGTGTCTGTATGCAGTTGAAGATGTGCAGTTGAAGATGTTCAAAGCAATTACCATGGCAGGAATCGGGTGAGCCGGGTGAGCCCGTCCCTTGTTTTTTTGGTAGATTCGCCCTCGGCTAGCGACCTGGTCAACTTTCAAACAAACAGAAAGGATGTTCGAGGGCTCCAACAAGCCACTACAATTCCTACGTCTGCTGGCATCTTTTTCCTTCGTCCTTTAACTTGAGCCCTTGCTGGCGTTTCTTGCTCTTGCTGGTACCAACAGGATTCATCTATTGAGCAGTGAGCCGCACTGGTGCTGCAGTCAAAGATGCACGACATTCCCCTGCACGGGGCATAGTTTAGCTCCGCTCAGAATCTTACCTCCCGAACACTTCTTGCAAAGTTCAGGATCCCATTGTTCACTTTTGGCAGTAAGGAGAATCTTGAATATGCTTGCTGCATGGTTGATGCACTGAAAAAGAATGTACCAGAGTGTGACGCTAGCCACTAACCCACAAACTTGTGCATCGCAATTCACTTGAATGAAGCTCGATGTGTAGGGACTTGAACACCACAGAATTCATTCTCATTCCGGTCAACTCAACTGAATACGATTTGTGTGTTTGTGTGCCACACATCTTCATGTGCGCTCAAAATCGGATAACAAAAACATGCCGGCAATGCCATCACTATTTGCATTCATCAGGCTCAACTGCTGTCCGGACACAGTGTGATCAGTGTGATCAATATCATGCAGGTACGTGCAGGATTAAACTTGTCAGTTGAGGAAGACAGCACGCCCTTTTTGCGCACTCATCAGGTTCTGGGTGGTGCCATAGTCTTCAAATTCATCGCGTCATTGACGTTCAAGCACTCCAAGCAATCCTAGCGCTTTGGCAGCCTTGACAGCTCCCAAACTGCAACTTGCAACGCAGGACAAATCAGCTGAGAAAAAACTTGACGAAACTATGGACTGTGATTTGTAGCATTATAGTAATAGTACATCTATGCTCTGCCACGGCTCTTGTTTAATGTAGTTCAGGTCCACAGCAACCCAAGTGCCCAGGAAACCAACCTAGGAACCCAGGAACCCAGGAGTGCGACAAGTTGTGCCACTTGCAGTCCCAATCCTTCGTACTCCAAATCGTCACGCGTGATGTCCGTGACCTCCTCCCTGGGAGCGAGATGCCTCGCAGGGCTTGGGTGGTGCGTCGCTTGGATCTCATGATATCTCATGATACCTCCGTTTGAGACATCCTTTGAATTTCAGATGGAATTTCATGGTAACA